CCAACCTCAGTGTGTTAACAAGTCCAGAGGCTGTTTTGTCCAATACATTGAAGGTCTGAGCGTTACTCTTCTCGAGGTCATAAGTAAACTCTGTTAAAAGAAACATCTTCTCTTTGTCATCTGCTGAATCAAGATCGGGGTTCTGCATCCAGCCAGACACCTGACAGTCCTTAGGAGCAGTTGACCTGTCATAAGCCACACTCTGTCCACATAACAACGACAAGAGTCAGTTGGAGCACAAGATATATTGAGAAAAAACACAAAGAGTGCAGCTACTAATAGAAAATAGAGTGTTTGGATTGTTGGTGCACTTTGCAAGAAAGTCATGGCGAGTTGAGTAATCAGATAAAACCTATCACATTAAATCCAAAAAAAAAAAGCACTTTCTTGAGGAAAGCTAATTCCCCCACTCAAAAAGGAAAATATAAAAGGATTCAGGAGGAGCGAGGAAGCATGCCATGAACTGGCAATCTCAAATCGAGTCTGTTCCAAAATCTAAACCTCTCGAATGCAATTAGTTCTCCCAAGGTGTTGTTCACTGTCATATTTTGGATTTTTCTTCACGAAGTTCGAGAAAATAGCATAAAAAAGAGAATTCTTTCCGATATCATTCAATTTCGAGGACTCATAGAAATCCAGATTAGATTAAAAATCAACAAAAGAAAGCACAAGTGGATGAAGACATAATTCTAAATTTGGATGGGCAAAAGAAGCCTGACAAGGTTAGGCAAGTAAACCAAAACTTTCTCTTCTAAACAACAGGGCATTGGTTTTGGGGCTAAGGTGTATAAAGTTTACAGGTTGACTCAATACCATCATTCCAGTCTTATTGTTTGTGTCCATCCTCTCCTACCTTAGCATATGACAAGGGATTAAATAAGAATCCTCTTCACTGTCACTGCCAGCTCTATATGCTTTGATTGTGATTAGTATAACCACCTACACTGCTGTTTAAAGCACTGTAGTCACCAGCTTGACTACATTCTACAACATGCTAATTGCCAACTATTACAGATTTAGCACCACCATAACCATAATAAGCACATATCATCAGGTTTGAAGTACAAGCATCCCCACAACCATCACCAACCATGGTCCCATACTGCCATAACTGCAGTATCCTTAATCTCCAAAATCTCCTTCATGCTATGTTTTCTCACGCTTATTAGTTTTCAAATACATTACCATCATACCACTGATTAGGAACTAATAACTCTAATTCTAAATTTTTAATTTAACAAAATCTGAGATGCCCATGGGAATACAATAAGGAGAATAGGATTGCAGGAATTTGAAGTGTTCCGTGTGAGAGAAGTGTTTCACATTTAAACAGCCAAGTGGTGTGAGACAAATTTCCATAAAGGGGGGGAAATGGTCAAAATCCAATTTAACAGAAACAGAACATTGAAAAAAAGTAAGAACCCAAAATCAAATGTGGAAAGAGGCTGATAGGAAAGCTTCCACGGATAAAAACTCAACAGGTTAAAGTGGCTAGAGTGGGGATTGGACTTTGGTGACAAGAGAATCATATTGGAAATCTTTAGATTAAGTAATAAGAAAATGCACGAAGAGAATTAGCTTAGTTTCATTCCAGAGTATCAACGTTCTTCGTTTAGCACAGGTGACAATGGTTTTATTGGAAGTTGAATTGGATGGGTGAAGATACCTTAACCAAATTCGTTTTGATAACTTGCTCATGATCATGCTTCTATAGTGTGCGTTCTCCATTGGTTTTGACAATTGTGTAACACTTCTTTCTCCAACCTCTCAGATCTTTAGTTGAGATCAAGAAATTAATTTGAAACAGAAAATTATAAATAATCCGTCATCAATTCTTCACTTCCTAGAAGGCTCATCTTTCACCCAATCATCCTTATTTTGTAATTGTAATCCCGCAGTCTTGCTCATAGTCACTAAAACTATGCAACCAAGAAATATTTTCACACAGAATGGGAACTATTTAACTATTGCAGCGGAGTTGCAGCATCAAGTTTGAGGTTATAGGATTGAAACTCTAAAGATACACAGATTAGGGTCATGTCTTTTGGAATATTTGTGCAATATTAACGCTTGCTACTGAATTTGAAATCATGCAAGTTTTAATAACACTGCATGTTGACCAAGTAAATAAAATGAACTAAAAGTCATCTTTGCAGCTTAAACATCATACCAACTAACTCTGCAACTTAAACAAACACAAACTGAAATGAAGATAGCACCTTAGCAATGTGTTCCAGCGTAACAGCTTCAGGAACAATAGCACTTCGCAGCTTAAACTGGACAAACCCCCTACTTCCTTTCAAAGCAAAGCACTTCCCAGGCTCCCCAAAACTTGGTTTTAGCATCTCATCAGCATTCGGATGAACCCCTCCACCCTTCATGAACCAGTTAGCCCCTCTCACCGCCATATACGGATCAGAATGCTTCACAACCATTCCACCACTAGTTGCCAGCGCATAATCCACCCTCCCAAGCCCGTCAGCCGCATGCTTATCAATCTCTTTCTGCACTATCTCCCTCGCATACACCATTATGTCATCCAAACCCACACCACTCCCACCAAATTCCCCACCATTTTCCTTTTTAAACTGGTCATGGAACTTCTCAAAATCCTCCTTCGACAACCAATCACCCGCTTTCAACTCCCCAATTTTCTTCTCCAACCCTTCGCTTCTCTCCACTAACCTCCTCAACTCTCCCTCCAAGATCACATCTTTATCGTCAATCTTCCTGCTCATTTCCCTCCTTAATCCACCAACTTCACTCCCAATCTTCTTGTCAACAACTTCCACTTGAACCTGAATCATTTTCACCGCATTTTTCACAATGGACTCTATTTCCGCTATCCTCCCATCAAACTCATGTAACCCCATTTGTGTCCCCAAACTAGCACCATCAATATCCCCTGATTTCACAGCCAATTTCCTAACCAACTGCACTAAGCCTACTAAAACAAGCAAAAGCACGAAATTCTTAGTAAAAGCTCTCACCAACGTCATCCACAGCGGTCTCCTCGCCTTCGTCCCCGCCACCTTCCTCCCCCTCCGCGGCGAAATTGTCGAACTCGTCTTCTTCACTTGAACAATATCTTTCGCCGTCCACTCCAGAACCGCATCTCCTCGAATCGAGTGATAACTTGGATCCCTACTCGCAGAGGCGGTGACAATTCCATCCACGCCTCCACCACCGTTGATTCGTCGTTCACTCGGAACTACTAATTCGATGTTGTTGCTTGGTGATTTCTTGTCGGAAACCACCACCGGTCTCCGCCGTGAGGCTGGATTCGCAGTGATTGACACCGTTGAAGCCGACATTTCGAAGTAATTAGGGTTTTTAATCGGAGACTGAAGAAAGAAAGCCTGATTGGATCGAATTGGGAATTGTACAAACTGTAGAGAAGAGAGAGAAATTTTGGAGGGATGTTGAATTGAAATGAAAAAACCGCTCCTTTTCAGGAGGGGATTTATTTCTGTTGGTGAAAAAGTTTGTGTGAAACGACGTTGTTTTCATCCACACGAAATAATATTAATAAACTGTATATTTTTTAAGAGATTCATGAGCGATACATTGCTTTTAGTTATCATGTTTTTTTTTAAATAAAAAAAAATTGTTTTATGAAATAAGATTTTATCTAATTGTATCATTTTCATGGTACGCTATTTTTACTTGAAATATTTTATAAATATTTTATATTAATTATATTTTAAAATCATTATAAAATTAATTAACAAGATTGAAAATAAAAATAAACAAGAATAATTCTGAAAGATAGCTTAATAGATTAGATTTTGAGTTTGCTCTTTAATAATTATAAATTTAAATTTTTTTAAAATTATTATAAATTTATTAATAATTTTTTAGAGTGTAAAAAATTAATTAAGATAAATGCAAACTAGCTGAAATACTTATATTAATAATAAAATATATACCAAAGTGTTAATTAAAGTATTTTTGGTAAAAAAATGATGGTTGGAGACTCAATGGAGAAACTCTAAATAGGTGGGGGACCTTTTTGAATTTCTGTACAACTAGATGTAAGAGTGCCACGCGCCCACGGGGATTAAACTGTACAGTCAGGTTCTGTTCTTCTGAGGTTGCACCCTTTTTACTCTTCATGAGCTCTTCTTTTGCCGCTTTATATTCAACAAATGCTATCATATTTGTAACCATTTACAGAGACATGAACGGAGCAGAATTTTTGAATTTGGGGAGTTCTGCTGCATTTCTCCCTGGCAACATCAGTGGAATTCACATGGACTCCAATCTAGATTATAGAAGAGATATTCCCGATCTATTTTTTAAGACCATGGATGTTAATCACTAAATCACATTTCTTCCAAGCACATTCGCATGGATCAAATTATATATTTTACAAATAACTCAAGAGGATTGCAATGCCACCAAGAACTCGAGAGCTTGAACGGTATGATCATGAACCCATCATGTGTCTTCATCAACAATCAACCTAGACAGATATACAAATCCATGGCCATCAAACAAACGTGAACTCTCGCTTGACACCCAATTATCATTCTTAACAATTGATGATAAAAACCCATGAAGATGATGGGGCCTGCAAGATTGAGGCCATGTTCTATACAAACCAAAGAAGTGCCACCTGTCTTGCAGGAGCAAATAAGTGGGATTTCCCATGATTACCACATGAGGTCTCTCCCCCATGATACGTGTGTATATATGTATATGTTAAAACTCAAAATTGGATGACTTAATTATACTTATTAAACTTGATGAGGAATAAATTTAAATGTGATGAGTTGTGCGAGTTAAATTATAATAATATTATTTAAGAGAAAAAATTAATAAAAGAACCCATGAGTTTTGAACCGGGTTAAACACGAGTTGATAAAGTGCCAGCTTAAATTTTTAACCGGTCACTTCTCCCTCTGTTTTTTAAGGTATCGAGTCAACTTGTTCCTGAATGGACCCGCCGGGCAGTCCGGTTTAAAAAAAGAGAGGCAATTAATTAACACTCCAGTTTTGTTTTCGGAAGTTTTTAGAATTTGAGTTCTCTCTCCTACTTTCTCTCTCTAAATGTGAATGTATAATTATCAGCTGATTTTCACCTGAAATCAACAACAGCAACACAAAAAATCCCCTCTTTGAAGTCACTTAACTCATTCGTGGATCACAAAAGTAAGTCCCTTTTGTTGCTTACGTTTTCTTTACTTAACTTTATTGATATACAACACAAAAATGAAAAACGCCCCTTCCTTTATAACTCCTCCGATTTGAAAGTTGTTGTTTTTCACTTGCATTTGTGGGATTTGGTTTTGTTTCTTTTCCAGGTTTAAGAGAATTTTGATCTCGAAATTTATGTAAATATCTGAAAGATTTTTTTATTTTTTGAGAATTGATTTATGTTTCATGCAGAAGTTTCAAACTTTGTAATCTGGGGTTATTGAAAAGTTGTGATTATGTGGATTATTTTGTGACTTGGGATTTGGGTTTTAAGGTTTTCGGTCAATGAAGGGTAAAGCTTTGAGCTTTCGCGTTTGCTTGTAAAAGATTGTAGCTTTATAGCTCTCTGTCTGCATGTTGTTTCACCTGATCAATTAATTGGTTTCAAAGTGTTGTGTTAGATTCAGTGATACATGTTCTGTATTATGTTTCATGCATGAGTTTCAAACTTTGTAATCAGGGGTTATTGAAAAGTTGTGATTATGTGGATTATTTTGTGATTGGTTTCAAAGTGTTGTGTTAGATACAGTGATACATGTTTTATCTAGCTCGTTGAAGTACATTTTGGATTCTATATGGTTTTTTAAAAAAAAAAAATAATGGTAATGGTTTGAGGTGAATCTTCTTGTTATTTTCTCTTCCAATAGTGACCTTCTTCTATTTTATTTTATTTTAAAAAAAATTCTCCTAATCAAGGGATTTATTTGTTTGTTGGGCTTTTTTGCAACTTGATTGTATGTTCAATTACTTTTATTTTGTTAAACATGATGAATGAAGGTTATTGGTTTAGGTTTTTAAGATAATTAATTTTGGATGTTTTAGTTCTGGTCTTGCATTGCATGTATAAGAACATTGAAACTCTATTCATTTTTCCTTCAATCACAGTTTCTTTATTAGTTTGAAGAGTGTAATCTAAAAACCTTATGCAGTACAGGATTCATTTCTAGGCTTACTTTTCTGAATTGTTGACTCTGCTTTCCAGGTTCTGATTTGGGGTGAGTTTGAGGATCGGATCATTGTGGTTCATAGACAAGATTAGGGTTTAGAGAGTTTGTATGGATTTTTAGTTTTAAATTTGGAATGTTTAGGTGAAGGTTGTTGAATGGGAATGCAGACAATGGGATCTCAAGGTGATGGTAGTAGACATCATAAGCAATCTCAGTTCCAGCCATTGTCACGGCAAAACACAATGTACAGTCTTACTCTTGATGAGGTTCAAAATCAGTTGGGTGACTTGGGAAAACCCCTAAGCAGCATGAATCTTGATGAACTTCTCAAAAACGTGTGGACAGTGGAGGCTAACCAGACAGTGGAGGCTAACCGGACTACAGGTTTGGAAGTGGAGGGCACACCATTCACCAATCAAACTGCTCTGCAACGTCAGGCAAGCATATCATTAACTAGTCCTCTGAGCAAGAAGACAGTTGATGAGGTCTGGAAAGACATCCAACAAAGCAAACATGATGGGGAGATGAAGTCTAGGGAGCGGCAGCCTACTCTGGGAGAGATGACTTTGGAGGATTTCTTGGTAAAAGCAGGAGTTGTAGCTGAAGCATCTGTGGACAAGAAAGATGGTGGTTCTGTTGTTGCGGTTGATACACATGCAGCACAACAGTTTCTGCAACAAAGTCAATGGGTGCAATACCCACCACATCCACAGTATCACCATCCACAACAAAGCATGATGGGGGTTTATATGCCAGGCCGGCCTATGCCACAGCCACTTCACATGGGGGCTGGTTCTATGGTGGATGTTTCATACCCAGAGAACCAGGTGACGTTACCTCCACCCTTGATGGGGACTTTATCAGATACACAGACACCTGCAAGAAAAAGAGGTGTGCCAGAGGATATGATTGGGAAAACAGTTGAGAGGAGGCAGAAGAGGATGATAAAGAACCGCGAATCTGCCGCCCGTTCACGAGCACGGAAGCAGGCTTACACAAATGAGCTGGAGAACAAAGTTTCTCGGCTGGAAGAGGAAAATGAAAGGCTAAGGAAACAAAGGGTGAGGATTTGTTTTCGGTTACCCCTCTAGTACAATCTTCCTATTGGATATACTGATAACATGTGTTGAACTGTCTGTTTTAGTATATTTCTTTCCTGTCCTATTGACTGATAGTTTAAATAAAACCTGCACATCTCTCTACTTGAATCAGAGACGTGATAGTTTAAATAAAACCTAGTTTGTTTTCCTTCTCCAATGATTTCCAATAATCATGTAAATGGAATTTAGATCAGTTTGATAATATTATCAGATAGCTATATGTCATGGAGAAATGAAGATCAATCTATTTAGTTTCTTGATAGCCTTTTCCTTGAAAACCAAATCACAGTCCTAGACATGATAAGTCATTTTGAAGATTGTCTCCTCATAGGTGGCTGGGAAAGAAAAACAGACAATGAGTATTAATCACCATGTAAAACTTTAGATTCAAGTAGGTGGTAGAAAACTTCTAGTCTCCCCTTTTCCTTATTTTTGACAGAAAACTTACACAGTAAATGAAAGGATTCTTGATGAATGAGCTCCTTGTTTATTTTGTGAAATATCTACCTTCTTCTTAATGTATCCCCTAGGCAATCCACAACTTGCCTTTGTTGTTGGGAGATCTGTGATTACTCCCTTGTTATTGTTGAGAGATCAATTTTAGCAAAATCTTCATCCAAAACTCACAGGACTAGCATACCATGCATTTTCACCTTAAAGACGCCCTAAGTCAGTTTTCTTCTCCCACAATTTCCAGTAATTAACCAAATCAAATTTACCACAGTTCTTGACTAACCAAAACAGCGCAGTCATGATTTACAGACATTGTTGCTGCTCCACCAAACCATATTCTTAATTATACATATCTCATGGAAACAGAATAAATGAATCAATAAGCTGAATACGTTACTTCAGAAAAATGATGGAGGTGCTTTCTTATTGTTGATATTATTTTGGAGCAAAAGGCTATGCTTCTGCTCGTGGTGATTATGATGTTTGTTGGCATCACTTTGTATGTGCACAATCACTTCATTGAGTGTAAGAATATCATCTCTTTGGTGTTAGATAGCCTATATGATGATTGTAGAACTTGTCACTGAATGTGAGATATTAGTGAGTTGAACACACTCTCCCCTCTTTCTCATTGTTAATTACTTTTTTTGATCAGTTGTACTTTAACTTGCAGGAGCTTGAGAATATGTTGCCATGTGCCCCTCTCCCCGAGCCCAAGTATCAGCTTCGCAGAACAGCATCAGCCCCATTCTGACTGTGTTGAAGTTTTGTAGATATGATGCATTTCTGGTTTTAGCTCATAATTTACTCTTTGGCCCCTCTAGAAGCAGCTGTTTGTCACGGTTACTGCTGTGAGTTTGCTTCTCATCTTCGTGAGTATTTTCTTGTATCTATTCTGTGAAAAGCTGGTTAGAAATTTTCATTTGTAAGATTTTTCAAAAGAATGTTAGTTGGTTCTTTTCCATATGGTCAGTATACTTTTCTAGCTTCTTTCAGCCTCACAATATCCCCCACCTCATCTTCCGAGTTTTGGTGCAATTGTCAAGTATTCCCAACATTCTTTCATCATGTGTTTTATGCTGAGAGTGACGGACACTGCTTATATTCCTACAGAAAAGCATAAGATTGTGCTGGTATATATTGTTTATCAACTATGCAATCTGGTACTAAAAAATGACAAAAAGTAGGAAAATGCACTGCACGGTTTGAGAAACCCGCAGCAGGGTGCAAGGGGCCAGATTTCCTGGTTGTTGTGCTGGATCAAATTGTCTTGTAAATGTGCAATGTCTCGTACCCTATGATTGTAACTAAATTCACCAGTCCAATCAATCCCTGTTGCAGAAAATGCTATGTTAACTTTAGAGAAAAATGGTTGACAATTGGATGCCAATTCCAAATCCAACGGCGCATTGCTTTTGCAAATGTGCCCAGCTACCTCTTTCTTAACCACTGCATTATTGCTTTCTTTTAAGAAAATTGACTCGCAAGTCACCTGGCATCGAAGCAAGTTGGAGGCAGATTCTGCCAAAGAATATTTCAATGGTGACACTCTTACCGTATACAGTAAAGGGCATACGTAAGAGGTGACCATCATGCCATATTCGCACTATAGCAAGCAAGAATGTCATCAAACATCGTGGGTGTGTTTGTAAGAATTTAGGTTTTCTAACAACATATATGAGTTGTCCTGTCCTTGAACATTTGACAGTGAGCCTAACAGCATTAAATGCTAGAGAGGAGTACAGCTCTGCATAGAGTTATTCATAACTAGAAAAGTCTGATTCCTTCAGCTATGATCAACTTCCAAGGATGAAGACAGGCAGCCGTTGATATCAACTACAATGATAACGAAACAAAAGGGTCATTGCTCTTGCAATTCAAGATGCTGATGGTTGAGAAGCAATATATAATAGGATTATAGCGAGGTACTGCTTATCATTTAGTAATATTAAATACATCCTCACTCAAGGTCAAGATGGAACTAATTATTGTTTATCAGTATAATCTGCAATGAGATTTAATTTGTGGGAGATCATTAAACTAGTCTAATTCAGTTTAGTCTTCCAATAATTATCCCCTCCAAGCCAATGGTTAGTGAAGCAAGAGCATGCCGCAGATATGCCATGATCCTACTTTGACCTCATCTAATTTATTTTTAGGTGTATGATCTTTCTTTCAGGATTAGCACGTTAATCGATGCATGCATATGAACTCGGTGGTCTTTACTGTTTATTTTATTTATACACATCGTTTCATTAAACAATGCTTGCGTTCCAATGGACGTTCTTACTATTCTAATTCTAGCTCCTCGAGTATTAAACATAAACACTAATATCATGGAAAAGAAGAAGTCAAAAAATACAAAAAACAGTAACTTTGAGGGCCATGATTCTAGGAATTAATAATAATAAAACAGCCGATTTCTTCTCCGTTGTTTGCTCCACCTGCCACGATCCAACAATTGCTTGATGCCCTATATCAAATATTTCCCCTTCGATCCACAACCTCGTGACATGACTAGTGAGGATGACCAAAATATTAAATGGGTCATTCTTGTTATACGAATTATTTTGATTTTTCAATTACCATCTGTAAACTGCTTTAAAGTCAGAATCTCACACGTGATCATATCTTAACCTGAAAATAAAATAAAATAAAATAAAATATTTCACCAGTCACATGCCCCAATATTGTGCTCCCTGTGGAGCAAAGAGAGAAGGTACGGCATGTGTACTTCCGTTGCAAGAGTGCATAAATATTGACAAGAGACCTGGTAGAATCTATATACCCATGCTGCGGGTAAAGTTAAATTTTTAAATAAAAAAATATTAACTTCAAAAAATTTAATAATTGAGTTATTAGTTTAAATAATATAAAAAAATGATAAAAAGCATAAAAAAAAACCACATTTATATCTATCTAAATTATCAAATAACTCAATAATAATATAATTAAAGAAAACTGTAAAAAAAAAGAAGTAAAACTTTAACAATAAAAAAAATAGAAAATGTCCGCTTAAAAAGAGGAGAAAAAACCTAAGAAAATTTAGATAAACTTTTTAAATCTTATATAATCTCTAAAACTTGCAACTTGTTAAATTTTGAATCAGAATTCAATTAAAAAATTAAATTTGATATATTTATTTTAGAAGGATAAAAACAAGGAAAAATATTACTAAAAAACATGCAAAATAAAGAAAAATATAAAAATAAAATTAAAATAAAATTTGATAGAAAATACTCAATGATAATGAAACTTGGAAAAAAATAAAATAAAAATACCAAACAAAATAAATTGTGTGCCTCGCTATCTACAAATCATGAGTGTATTTACATATGTTTGATAATAATTGAGTGTATTAATGATATATATATATATATATATATGATAATTCCTGAAAAATGGTTGTTTATCTAAAAATAAAATGAATGTGTTTTAAATAAAATTAAAAAAAATAAAAAGAAACACAATAAAAAAACAATCAAATTAGTGATGTATATTTATTTATATTTAAATATTATATGCACTATAAATGAGGACATTGCCGGTATAACCAAGGATGAAGGAGTGTAGGAAGCTAGGGTGGGCTGTAATTCAAGTCAAATAAATAAATAAATATTGGAAAACCCAATACTCTCCCTGCACTACTAAAATAAAAAAATAAATACTTTTTTTTTGCCCTTCATAAGAATTGACTTCTTACAAAGAATTTTTTTTGTTATTTATTAAAACTCAATCCTTTATCTTTATCAATACTCGAGAGTTGAGAAACACCATAGAATTTCAACTTTCTCAGGTCTCAACATCATTGGATTTTAGCTTGGGCTTTGAAGAGAAATTGTTTGTTGCAACTTGCAACCACCATTGAATTGGAGCTGCCAGATTTTATAATCATATGTTCACTTAATTAGTGCAGATGGGACATGTTAAATTGAATAGAATAGAGGGAGAAGGTAAACAAATTGATGACATTTATGTGTACTTTGTTAAATACATGGTTAAAAAGAATTCAAATAGTTATCCAAAGAAAGATATTTTAGTGCAAATACAAAATCTCTTTGAATTTGTCCATATAAAGTAATCTTGATATTTTTCCTGCTAAGATGGCAATCTCTAAAAAATTAATACAAGATATATATTAAAAAGTTGGTGATTGTTTGATTGTAATGAAATTTTTTGAGTTTATATTCATTTTATATTTAATGCATGAAATAATGGGGATTACTAATTTACTTTATCGAGCTTTGCAGCAAAAATTTCTTAATATCTTAAATACAATGGATCTTGTATCAATTACTAAAATATTGCTTTGAACTTTGAGAGATGTCAAATTTAATCTTCTTCTTACGCATATGCAATCTATTTGCATACAATATGAGATTAACATACCACATATGAATGCTTTATATAAAAAAACTATAGGTTGTTCATATCAGTAGCAGCAACAAAGATTAATAACAATTTATCAACATTATCATTATGATATATTTAACTCAACAATAAATTTTCAGTTGAAATAATTAAATTCTAAATTCAGTGATAGGATAGTAAAACTCATTGTACTTAGCTCTACTTTAAAATCTAAAAACAACTTTAAATCATTTAAAGTTAATGTCTATCTTCAGCAAACTTACAAATAACATTAACTTTAAATTGAAGATTTTAATGAACAAGAGATGTATTATTTGAGATCTTAACGAAATTTTATTCTGAAGATTTTAATGAACAAGAGATGTATTATTTGAGATCTTAACTGAAGCATTATCAAATTGATATGATTCATCATAAGAGCTTTCAGAATATGTCTATCATTCTTTAATTATGTTGAGGATTAGTTAAAACAAATAAGTCACAACACTATCATTTGATTGACAGGTTCATTCGTCTTATTTTGACTTTGCTTATTTCTACAGCCACTATAGAGTGAACATTTTCAGCTATGAAACATGTTAAAACTATACTTTAAAATAAAATGAAATATGAGTTCTTAGAAAATTCTATGATGATTTACATTGAATGAGAATTTGTTGAAGATATTGATTCAGATTCAATCATAAATGAATTTTATTTCAGAAAATATCGAAGGGTGTAATTTTAATAGTGTAATTTATTTTTATATTTTTTTAATTTTATGTATTTTAAATTTTATTTTTTAAATTTGATGTTATGTATTTGGATTGAAAATTTATTGTTAACTTGACAAATTTATATATATATAAGTTAATGATTGATTTTGAAAAATAATTTATGTTTATTTGCTTTGTAGCTCAAGTTAGGAAAAGCTCCTAACTATGCCTTGGGTATAACTAAAGTTAAATTCATTATAATTTAGGAAAAATGATATTCTCTGCAAGATGAAAGAAAAACTAGGACCTTAATTTCGCCATACCTTGTTAAAAACTAGAATCCCAGTCCGCAATTTGTACTGTTTCTGCAATAGTAGCATAATAGCGTGAGCTAGGTGTAGGGAAATCCTTCACAATCAGATCCAAATTGCCATCCAAATGCGAGGAGATCCGATTCTTAACAATATGCTCTGTTTATTAATTAAATAGAAACTTATCAAATGAATGTTAGGAATTGAATTTAGTGACCAATTTGAATGTGGCTTCCCCTCCCTTTAACATCAAGTGCAACAAGCTCCCTGTATATATATATATCAAAGAAACTTTTGGATCAATTGTGTTCTTCAATATTATTCCTTCGAGCTTGTTGCGCTTAAATAATTTTCCTTTGATTGGCCGAAGTCAGGCAACATCGTGGACTAAAGTACCAGCTCCCTGAAGCCTCCCACCATTAATCTCCATGCACAAGTCTCCTCGATCGATCGGTTTCTCACTCTTTCTTTCAATTTGCTTTCTTGCCATCCAAGCTTCCACTTCTAATGAGCCCTCTTGTTATTAGTACCCTCCTCTTCATTTCATTTGCCTCCTCATCTTTAGCAAGGTGAGCAAAATATAGCGTCTTGAGTTATGGGGCCAAGCCTGATGGGAAAACTGACTCAACCAAGGCCTTTGCCGCAGCTTGGACACAAGCATGTGCCTCTACAAAACCAGCCATTCCTGATGTTCAGGGTCCTTGCAAGAATAATGCTATCTTGGTGACTGTAGCTGGTACTCCAGTCGCTCCATCAGATTATGGGCTCATTAGCAGCGCAACGGCATGCTAAATATGACAGATTGATCATGTTTTTTTTGGTCTGTAGGCTAAAATACTCAGTGAATGTATGTTTGTTAAACTATTTTTGTTGAAAAATCATTTTAATTTAAAAGATTAAATTATTTGATAAAATTTCAAATATAATTTATATTATTCTTTAACACATCCTTTCAAATAAAAATTATTAATTTAAATTTGAAATTTACACAAATTCATGCTATTTTTTATTTAATTTTTATTAAATAAAATAAAAATAATGAGATTTGAACTTATAATTGCTTTATCATCAACGTTTTGATATCATATCAAAAAAACTATTTTAACTTAAAAGCTTAAACTATTAAATAAAATTTTAATATATGATAATTTATGTAATTCTCTTACGTGGATCTAATTTCCAATTCCAGTAACATTGTGATCACTGGATTAACATCACTAAATAGCCAAATGTTCCACATTGTCGTCAATGCCTGCCAAAATGTCACGGTGAAAGGAGTGAAAGTATCTGCTGCCGGCAACAGCTCTAACACGGATGGCATTCATGTTTCTTCATCAACCAGTGTCACCATCTTGAATTCGAGAATTGGAACTGGTGACGACCGTATATCTATTGGCCCTGGTACCTCTAATTTGTGGATTGAAAATGTGGCGTGTGGACCTGGCCAAGGAATCAGGTAATTAAGCAAAACATAGTCTAATGATCGTACTAATTTTCTAATATTTAATAATATGCTCCTAATCATGGGATCAGTTAATTAGATAATTATGTGTACATGGTTGATGTAGCATTGGAATTTTAGGCCAAGATGTCCAAGAGGCTGCTGTGCAGAATGTGACAGTCAAAACCACTACATTTACTGGCACTGAAAATGGAGTGAGAATCCCGTCCTGGGGAAGACCTAGCAATGGTTTTGCTAGAAATATTCTCTTCCAACATGCAGTCATGAATAATGTCCAAAAACCAATTATAATTGATCGGAATTATTGTCCCGGTAACAAGAATTGCCATGGTCAGGTAACTCCCTTTTAATTCTACTTTAAAAGACTGTAAATTGAAGAGACACTAGCTTGAACATTCAAAAAATTTATTATTTTGAACACTGTGCCGTTTTGTATAAATTAAATAGGCTTCTGGGGTTCCAGGATATCCCTGGATCATCGGCAAAAGAAATCTCAGTGAAATTTGATTGCAGTAAGAAATATCCATGCACTGGGATTAACCTGGAAGACATATATCTCACTTCCCAAAATCAACCACCTGAAGCATCATGTACCAATGCTGGGGCAGTTGCTTCAGGTCTTTTTCAACCCACTAGCTGCCTATAGCCCTATACAGCTAGGCGGGAATCAATGGATGACGACCTTTGATGAGGAAGGCCAGAAAAAAGAAAAAAGTGGTCCTTTACTAGATGAATGAAGCACGTAGCTTTATCGTTTGGAATTTATACATTGTGCTGGATTCTTGGTCTTTTCAAGACTGCATCTAATCCATTAAAATCAAGGGGTGATGGGTTTTTGTGATCCAACTATCAGTGTAGTTGTTCAAGGGAGACTGGTATGTTAAAAAGTTTGAGATGTTGGATTATTGCATCAATACGTGGATTACTAGGTTCATCTGGTTGGACTTTTTTTAATTAAAATGATAATATTTTTTAAGAAAAATAGAAATGACCCTAATTGAATTTGGTATGATCAATTAGTGATGCATCAACTCGGTCGGATTAATTATGTTTTTTCTGAATTAATATTTTTTCAATGGATTAATTATGTTTTTCCAAGTTAATATTTTTTTCAATTCAAGATGATAATTTTGAATAACAGATTTTTCAATTTTTAAGCTAATTGGTCATATTAATTTAATATATTTATTTTTGTGTTCCAAAATATTTATAAAAAAAAAAAATTATTTATTTTTGCTTCTATTTATTTTAATAATTTTAGATTATTTTCACCGATATTAAAAATAAATTTTAAAAAATAAAAAAAATTATTTTAATATATTAAAAAAAACTTTAAAATACAAATAGCACCAAAATATTATATAACCAACCTAACCTAACAAAATGTCGTGAAGTCACTTGATATCTTTCAAAAGATGGCGCAAATTAGACCTTTAATTGTTAATGAACAAAAGCAAAATCTAGCCAATGATTAATATGGAAAGGAGTCTGTTGATTGACAACTGCAGATTCCATGGAGGTCACATGATAGCCTGCGTGTGATTGACCTTACCTCATTAAAATTCTTATTTTCTTTCAGGTCATTATTAAGCACGCTTATCATTTATTTATTTGTAGTTTCGGCTCCCGTGGATTATTTCAAAAAAACATTATTTTTTGAAATTATAGAATAAAATATATTGAATCCTCGCAATTATATACAATAATGATTGTGAAAAACACCAAGGATCTATCTTCCTGCCTGCATTATAGCAATGCTGCCTTGCCCAAACCAAAACATTACATAAAAGATGCATACCGGCAAACTAGTTTCTCCTCGTCCCGCGGACAAGAAGAATAGCCTTCTAAGGTGATTGATTGTTAATGAAAATTAGCTAGGCAGTCCCGTTTCTTGGTTTGTCTTGTGTCTGTGCCAGGAAAGGTTTGAAGGTCATCAGCACTCCAATTAATTCAACCGCGTTCAGGATGAAGAAAACCAGCTGCACACCTGCATTTGAACATTACAGAGTCAAGCTCTAGCTTGGACATGAAAAGGTACACGTTGATTCTAGCAATGCAACTATCGTCAAAACATTATACCTGGCAGAAATGCAGCGTTTTGGCGCCTTTGTGCCCAGGATAATCTGCAAACAATTGTTAAATTTCTTCGAGTATTGAATAGGAGATGTAAGTTTTGTTGTAAAGACTAGGACATTATTGTATTTGATTACTGTTTCGGGATAAAATAAATAATTAAAACATGTATATAAGGGAGATAAACATGTTTTGTTGAGGGAACGGAAATGTAGACATAAAAATAAATTGGGTTTTGGAATAATTTTAGAGGGAATTTCTATCCTTTCATGGTAGAAAGAAAGAGAAGATATGTCCTCTCTATCCCAACTATCTTTATTTTTATTTTGAAACGGTAACCAAACACTAATTAAATAGTAGATAATCGGTTAATCAAACACTAATTAAATAGTAGATAATCGGTAAAAGCTCTTACATAGCGCCACCTCCAGCCGGACCGACCGCCTTGAAAAAAGACATTCCCGTCATAGAAATGCCATTAGCAGCTCCTCTTTGGTTTTGATCCTGTTTTTCCAACAAGCAACAGCGATAAATCAAGACATTATATTGAAGCAAGAGGGTTGTGGTAAGTAAATCAAGAAAAGAACTTTACCACAGCATTGTTTTGCAGAATAAACATGCCCGTTATAATTGAAACCTGGTGATCCAAACATGGTAGGTAGTGTCAGAGAAGCGCAACAAGAGCTAAAAATCTTTCTTATCCTAAAGGATTTGATTCTACCATCCATTTGAAGTTGTTCAAACTTGAAGTGCACTTACAGAAAAAACATTCTTCATTATAGATGCACAATTTATCAAAATGCTGAGGCCGAGCCCGGATAACATAGCTATAAAAGGGTAACTTGACAGTAGCAGTATGGATAAGGCCTGCATTGGGAAGTTCACGAAAAAACTGTCACAAAGGAATAGATGGAAGCACGAAACATACATAGATGCTAAAGGGTGTTAAGTGCTTGCCGCTGCTATTCGAGCTACTGGTATCGGTCCAAGAATCCTCTCCACGTATGGATACAGAGAAAGTTGAAAGACAAGAAGGCCGAAACCTATTATTTGAACAATTTGTCAGTGAGTTTCCACTGTAAGTTTGAGAATAGGGTCACCATAAAGCACGGTTGTTAACATGAGTATTGTATCAAGTTTCAGCAGCTTTTGAATGTTATATACATGCCTGAGACTGCAAGAACTTCACCAACATCCTCTGTTGTATAGCCCAGGCCTCCAAGTTTTCTAGAGCTTTCGGCCCATAATGAGAATATCTACAGGAAGAAATCAAGTACAGGCACTCTTATAACTAGAGACAAAGCATTATTTAAGTGCATGAAATAAAGCTGTTTCTACAGGAGTGAATCTGTAAGTAGTCCTGACTGCAGTCATTAAAGTAACGGGTTAATAGGAATGAGAGAGATAAATACCTCTGTGTAAGCCATGTCATGAAGTGAGAAAATACAATAGACAATGATGGAGGACATCAAAGGCCAATTCTTTAGAAGGCTTTCATTAGAAGATGGTTTCCTTCCTTTATCATCTGTTCTTGCTTCGTCTCCTTTAGATGCGCCGGTTGCAGCTTCCAAAGCATTATAAGAATCATTGGATGAAGTCTTCTTTTCATTGTGCACATGCAAAGTTTCCTGTAATAACCACATTGAGGTAAATAGGCAGGCAGTAATATATCCACAAAGTTATCTCCCAAACAAGCATGTAGTGAAAGATCAGATGAAGGTCATAGTTTTGTTTCCTTAATCCCAACACCATTATAACATAAATTGAACACATTCTAGTCATCGAGAGACAAAGGGATGAATGTCTTGGAAAAATTTGCGGGCCAAAAGTTGCACAAAAGACATGATGACCTTGCTGGTCGATTTTGATTGTTATGACATACTGATAGAGATAATATACTTGTCAGGATGCCGTCTAGTGACATAAATCAAGTTCTGGATTCACAAAACATACGTGATCCGAGAGTAGGATATATCCAGAACAACATAAAATGTAAATGTTCACAACGTAGCTACAAGAAGTGGCCTAGTTCAAGGTCTTAATAGAGATGGCAGAGATGTAAATAGGTCACAATATAATATATATATGGTGACTCTGACCCGCAGGTCACAACTGGTAAGTACTGCTTTAGTATAAAAAACATTTCTTTCTGGAATGGAATCCCAAAATGAAAGCAGCTGAGAAGTCCAAGGACATGAATGAGCTAAAGTTGGAGCCTTGGCTGAGATGTCAATATTTTGATGATCATGGAAGTCTACAAGAGATTTACTTCCAGCAATCAGTGGTCAAAACAACAACGATCAATGCTCAGCATGAGAAAAGACCTCTTTGAAAGAAACATTACACAAATTTTACAGGCATCAGTTGATAGAGACAAGTACCGGAAGCCAGCAAGAAACAATCGTGACCACCAATGCGAAAAGTGATATACAGAAGCATGGTAAGAAGTAGGGAAATCTGCACAGGACACTCTGTTTGTGAATATCATTGTATGACTGGAAGATGTAAACTTAAGTTATCAAACAGAACATCTCATGATTAAAATCGAACAGTGCAAACTCATTTACCTCCCAAAAAGAGATTCCTTGGAAAATAAATTTGGATATTTCTCAGCTGGCTGAAGTACCAAAATTATGAACAAGCATTAGAAGAATAGTTAACAAGAAGAGAAGGGGTAGGAAGGAAAGTGTGAGAGGGGGAGCTACACAAGCTGCTTAGGAGTTAGTTCCCCATTGTGAATGCTATTCCCATATTTTTACAGCGGACCATGAAAATGACAGAATTTTCATTGCAGAACATTATTGCATGAATAAATAATCAAGAAATCTAAATACCTGGGCCAGGAAACCTCCTAGAGCTGGGCCAATGATCAGTCCTATGCCCCATGCTGTACTAACCTGGAATTGAATCATCTGTTAATTCAGACCCAACAGGGCTTAAAAAGTACTCAAGACTATGCACAGGTTTAATAAAACTCACTGTTGATAATCCTAATGCTTGATATTCTGCCCTGAAAATCTCAACTGCATATGCCTGCTCATGAAGTTATACAGAATAGAAGGGATAAATCGTAACTAAAACTCACAGAAGTAAGTAGAAATCCAAGAGAACAGTGAGAACTATCAGTCGTTCCTTGCTAACCAAGGGAAATTTTGATAAAAATAGTACAGAATCCTACCTTTATTGGTCCGAGCAAACCATTCAAACACCCAAGAAGAAATCTTGTAACAATGGCCATCCAAAAATTCACACTAAGACCAAAGAGAGTATTGAAAATGACCCTGAGACCAACCAATAATAAAGATAATCAAGACAGAGTAAACATGATATTTTTAGAACACAAAAACCCAACCTTAATGGCAAGAACATGAACTTGAAATGTAGAGATTACTCACACTGCGATGGTCCCTAAAAGTATAACAGGTTTTCGACCATAGCGATCAGCTACTATTCCCCAGAAGACAGAAGTTAGAGCTCTCCCAATCATAAAAGAGGACCCTTTTGACATACATAGAACGATTCGTCAGGACCATTTCATCAACAACTTATATGATGACTTTCCAACACATGTCA